CGATCCATAAAATATGGCTCTTTACCAATATACATATCTATTCCACACCGATTATTTCTATACCTATTCCTTATTTACTTCAATATTTTTCAGTAAAATAATTTATTCTGAAAAAAAACTTTAAGAGCAAAAAACTTAACATGCGCACCTTTTTTGGATACATACAGCTTATAAGAGACTTATAGGTTTAGGTGCTAAATGCATTTTATTGATAGCTCAGTGGTTAAGTGCGGTGTCGTAAGTGTTGTTTTGAAGGGTTTAAGATCTCCTCCTAGCCACAAAGTATAAAAGAAAAGTAGCAAAAAAGTAATCATTAGAAAAATTTACTTATATTACATTTATATTACATATGATTTTGAATAAAAAGTTAAATAACTTGATTTTTTACATTTTATAAACAATATATATAAACAAATAAAAAATGATTTATATAGGGTTTCTTTACACAAAAACCAATATACTATATTAAAAATTTTTAAGTGCAATGAACTACAATTACTTTTAATTTTTTTGATTTAGTTGCATTTGTTAAGAGTCTTTAAATTTTGCATTAAATTATCTTATTTCAACATATTTGTTGTATCATCTACACTGCAGCTGTTTTTTAAAACGACGGTAAAAAAAATCAAATTTGACTTTTTAACGAAGTAAGCTAGTTTAGATGTCTACAAATGTTGTCAAATATATATTTTCAAAGAGTTCTGAAAAAAACCATAAAAATTATTTGTTTCAAAAAATGTTTTACAAAGAGTTTCTCCTAATATATTTTTTAATTGTGTTTTTTCTCAAAATACGTAATAGGCATAAGGCGTTTTGAAAAACGGCTGCAGCATATATTTATAGTAAAAAAATTAATTTTACAAAAAAAACAACTTTTAATTGTCAAAAGAAAGTTTTAAATTTTTTCAAGCTACGGGCTTTTTTTTTTTTTTTTGCCTCCACAGTAGCAGTAGCAGGACTGTCTTATTAAGTTTTTTCTTTATTAAGTTTCAGACAATATTTTTTTCAGACCATCCGCAGCTTATTAGGACTAATTACCTGAGCACATTAATAACATAAGTAACTCAATTATGACACATACGCAACAAATTTTTTTCCTGGTGTTTTGATGTTTTTAGAAATTTTATCTTTTTTAAAAATCTTTTTGTTCGTTAAAGTGTATAATATCATTACATATGTTTGTATATAATCTTTATAAAACTTCAAAAGTATTTTGTATTTTAAAATAATCAAAAATAATTAAAAAAAAATAAATTAAAAAATTGCTATTAGTAGGACTCGAACCACGGCTTTTTCAGAAACTCAGCGGGCTATCCACTTGGCCACGCAGGCACGTTGTTAAACAAAAATTTTCAAAAAATTTTTTAACGGAAAGAAATCCTGCAGATCAAAATTAGAGCTTGACTGGCAATTTTTAAGTGAAAATCAAACTGTAAAACTTGATAAATGTTTCAGTGTGTTTTAACATAACTTAATTTAAAGTTTATGTCCATCATATATTTGCATACACATTCGTTCAGGTTTTTTTTATAAAACAAAGTGCTGCGTCTCTTTCTCACCACTACCTTGGTTGTAATGGCTGTCAAGGGTTTTGTGTCAAATGTGCTCGAAAAGGCACTAAAAGGATTAAGTTCGCCAATCATAATAGGATTACAACTCATTGTACACCAGAAATAACACAACAGTTTCTGACAGAATCTGACAGTGCTTTTAAGTAGTTATGTCAGAAAAAACCAAATATTAAATTACGATGAAAATTTCTTATGCAGTATTAATATATCTTTGCATTTTTTATGTAACCATTATGTTTTTTATGTTTTTACAAATGGATATCGTTACTATAATTATATTTGTTTAAAAGAAACCAAGTTCTTTTGTCTTGAATTTTGTCTTGAATTTTTTTTTGTTTAATTACTTGCATATATATTTCGATAAAATTCTTTGATCGATAACGAAGCACTCTTCTAAAGTTTTTAAATGGCAACTAGCTTGAATAACAACCGAGCATTTTTCTTAAAATGAACAGTTTACTGTTTCTATGAGCTGTTCATCTTTGACAAAAGATGAACACAAAACGCAAAAAACAAACTTAGATTTTTAAATGACATCCAGATAATTAAGAAATAGTATACTTGAAACAGTCACCATCAGTTTTTAATAATTTTACAAATTGCTTTGCAAATTTTCATGTGCAATCGCAAGAATATTCACACCATTTTTATGTAAACTTTCATGATCCAATTTTTATTTTATTATTTTTTTATTTGTATTGCATGAATCACTTTTTCACATTTTTTACAAAGAATTTAACTGCACTGAAATGAGCTGTTATTATGTAAAAGAACTCACACTAAGGTCTGTTTCAAGCTATCAATAAATATTTGCCATTTTGTTTAGATCAAAACCCAATGCCTTTAATAAACTAGAAATTTTATTCCAAAATGCTTTTTAACTACTGCATAAGTTTACTTTCTCTAGTTTATAAGTATGATTCACTCCTTGTTTAAGTAACTTTTTCTTATTTCCAAATCGCTTGCCAAATCAATTAATTTATTCTGGTTTAAATAAAAACTGAATAAGTTCCACCAAAAACTGAATGCTCATGAATTTCAAAATCTATAATTTTTTTGTCAATGGGTTTTTTTAAATCACTCAGATTTTTTCAATGAGGTAATTTTAACTTGTCACTGGGCATTCAATTAAAATATGATTGTTTAAAAAATGCTATGATGCTTTTTCTCTATCTTATATGGGTGAAATCATTACATATACAGCAAAAGAAGTCTGGGACTGATTTAGACATTTATGAGAAGAAATAGCAGGAGAAGTCATGATTTGAAACAAAGTAAATATGTTTCTTTATAAAAAAAACCTTAGGATGGAATATTTACAAATATTGAAAACTAAAATAAAAAACAGTATCACCACATTGTTATAGATGTAACCATCGTAACCAGATATAGTATTTGACCAGTGACCAGTGTGACAGTTTTGACAGTGCAACCAATGACCAGATGACCAAGGTGATAGAATGATCATTTTGCTAGCTGTTGGTATCTGAGGAAAGTTGGTCTCTGTAGAAAGTATTGCTTTTTAAAATGCAGTTAACAATGTTTGACATTTTTATAGGAAAGTATATTTTTAATTTAAATAAAACAAACTTTTTTTTATAAAAAACTCCAATTTTTTTTAAGGCGTTTCAGATTCATTATTCTTTATTCAAAATCTCAATCAGGTTTGATCTTGTAGAGAAGCTTGTTTTGCCAAGTGTATGCCAGTTACAACAAATGATAAGCAAAGTGATTAGTCTTGAAGATTATATAGTCTATATTTAAAGAAGATACTCTATATTTAAAGATGATATTTAAAGAGCTTTCTCAAATGCAAAAATATTGCTTCATCTAAGCAGATGAGTCTTTTTAAAAACAACTTTTTTTTAAACAGATGTTCTCCAGTTTGTCATGTTGGGTCTTAAATGAAGCAAAAAAAATAAGTTTCAAAAATATGAATCATTTTATCTAAAACCATTGAAAAATTATAATAAAAATTATTGTTTAATCCAGTATTATTTTATTATAAAGAACACATTTAAGGGTTGGAGAACATCTGTTTTAAATAAGTTGATTTAAGAAACACCCTACTGTTGAGGTATACATAAAGCCTGGGCTACAGGACTCTAGTGGTGAGTTATTTTCAACTTATCTACTGAAAAACCAAGATTTTATTATGTTGAATTGTTAGGACCTATGCAATCAGATGCACTAGAAAAACAGTTTAGAAAATATTGGCAAGCATCAAGTATCGCATATCTGATAACTGTCCAAATTGTTATTCAAAAAATTAAAATTGATAAAACTAGATTTTCGCTGGACAAGCAAGCAGATCTTACAATATTTCCTCCTGCTCACCACCACTGTGATAAGTGTGAAATTGATGTGAAATTTGATTTGTCAATATATGAAAATTGTAAGAATCAGTTGCCAAAATGAATGCAAACAAGAGCTTTTACATAGTACAGGTTTTAATACTTTCAAACTTCCAGAATTACATTTAGTTTTAGAGGAAACAGAAACATCTTTTATTTGTTTCAAAAAATACAGAGCTTTGATTAGTTTTTTAAACAGGGAAGGATTAAGGGAACCTTCTGACAATTTAGTTTACTTTGTTATTTATTATTTTTTTATATTTTACAGGGATTATCTTTTTTTGGATATTTCTTTCAACTTTTAGTTTTTTCGGATTTCCTAAAACTCTTCCATAAATACAAGTTTAAATAATTATTTTCGCAATATATATGGTTTTAAATTATTAATTTTGAAGTGACACTTGTGGATGAAGTTTCACTATTGTTGTGCAAGAGATGATAAACTGATATTTGTATTAACTCTAGTAGTAAATTTCAATTGCTTTTTCCAATTTTTGCTAAAGTTTTCCGCATTTTGGTAAATATTTTTTTAAACAATTTTTGTAAAAAACAACTTGAAGAATTCGAAAAAGAATGTTTGATAAAACAAGCAAAATTTTCAAATTAAAAAAAAAAATTCAGAGTCATAAGTTCCAAAAATATTCTATTATTAAGCTAATAATTTTATTTTATCAAAAAAAAAAATCATTATTTGTATTACAAGTGTTAAACAGCTAAAATAATAATTTGTAAAAGTAAACAAAACTAAAGTGATTTTTAACTAAAAGTCATTTTTAACTCAAATCAGTTAACTGTGCAAATCTTTCTTGTAATTAACTTATTTATTTAACGTAAAAATAATTCTAACAATATTTGCTCTCAAGATTAAAATGAATTGTCTTAACAAAGCTCTTTATTTGATTCTGAAGTTTGTTTAGCAAAGCAAACAAAAAAAATAATTTAACTGTAAATATGTCGACCTTAATTTAACTGTAAATATGTCGACTCTAATTTTACAGAAAATAAGCTGTCGTGGCCTGTTTAAGAAGGCCTTGGTTAAAAACATTTTTAAAAGTTGTAATTTTTTTTTTTATAGATGTTGGAGTTATGTTGGTAAAGTTGGTGGAAGCCAACAATTAAACATTGGTGATGGGTGCGAATATACAGGTATTTAAATGATCATATGGTTTTATTATAGTTTTTATGAGTCCTTACTCTCACTCTAATCCCTGAAAAAAAAAACAATAAAAAAAAAGAAAAAAACACTCCTCTCAATCTCAATTTGTATTGGTATTTTTGCATGTGCTGTAGAAGACAACTATCTTTTGGACTAAATTTATATTGTATTATGACATCAATAAACTAAAAAAAAAACAACTTATAATTATATCTATAGTCATATACAGGGCTCGAAATAGCCATTGGACATTGTCCAGCACTTTTCCAGTAAAAAGCAACATCTATCAGTTATTTCGTCTGACCCATATTTTGTGTACATTTATTTTATAATCATTTTAGTTGTTCCAAAATTATTAATAAACTTATATTAAATAATAGTGTATAAAACTTGCCCACACAGCTGGGCAATTCCATGTAAAAACATCCTGGACATGCAACCCTAAGACTCAGATTTTGCTGATTTTTACACCACTCTAAGATTTTGATAAGTTATGAACATTTCCAAAATTTTATAATCTAATTCCAAATGGTTTCTAAGATATGACTTTTCACACATTGCCTTGAACCAACAAAATCTGCCATTTTGAAAAACGGTTTTGGTCATTGTTTCTGTTCTGTGTGCAATGGATATCTAATAAATCAGCTTAAAATATTTAAAAATATATATAACACCTGTAATTTTGACCATTATCACAATTTTACTGTGGCGAGTTTAATTACAAAAATGCCAATGTGGCTCGATTTTTTTTTATTATTCAGATGTCTTTTTGAATAGTTTAGTTAGAGTTATTACATAGAATTGGAGAGTGGTTTTTTCTTAAACAGAGAAAAAAAATGATCAAATTTACTTAAATTTGTTACTTTAAAAGTCAAGTATTTTTTCAATTTAATAAATTGAAAGGAAAAAAAAGGTGGTACTCTAAAGTGCATAATACACAACAGTTGATATTTAATACTCTTCGAAAAATTTTCCCACCCACCCTGAGCTTATTAACACCCTCTCCCTCGTTTATTGAATTTTATTCAGGGATGCAGAGTCCCAAAAAAGACTCTGGTTTGAAAGTCGTAAAAAGATTTCTTCTTAGTTTTTAGTATCCAGGAGCTCTAAAAATATAAAAAAGCTTATGGACTTTTATAGCTTTTATGGATTTCGTTAGATGATCATTAAAGATGTAATGATTTTCATTAATGACTACATGTTTTCAATTAAAACTTGATTTGTCCATTGATAGCAAGAGTTTAACAGGTTTATAAGGCTAAATTTTGTTTGGTTATGTGACCAGTATGTTTTATAATAATTTCTCTTTCTTTATTTACAAATTCCTCCACAACTCTGAAAACAATTGAAAAAAATAGCGCACTATTAAATATCACTTCCTTAATAACACGTACTGCAGTGTATTGCCTAGCTGGAAGTCCCTTGTTTATTGCTGTGAGAACTATTATCTTTAAGATAATTTTAGGTAAAAAAACGAAGGTAGATTGTTTTTATCTGTTATGATATTCTAATGATTATTACATTCTGACTATGGATTAGGTTTTAGGCTCAATTTTATAAACTATTAAATCCTAAATTAAATAAAGTAATAAATGCTCCATCATATAAAATAACTTGTGGTGCATATAATCTAGAAAGTGATAAAATAATGAAATACAAAAATTGATGGTAACAATTTTATTAAATATTGGGGTTTTTAACCAATAATTGTCTAGTCCAAATGTTGGCCATTGGTCAATAAAAAAGAAACTGTTTATTATTCATAACTAATAATTTGGTAAGTAAAACTTGTTTAGTTTAGTAATAAAAGTTTAATAAAATTCTTAGAAACATTAAATAAAAAAGTTAGATTATGGTTTTGAATTTCCTTATTAAAGTTATCTACTAATGATATACATTTGACAATATTTTTTACTTCTGTTTTAGGAAAGACCACAACCCAATTCATATAATTCTGACTAAATTATTTAAGACAAAATTAAAAAAAAAGAGCCTATACATCTGCATTCTTTAATTCAACTCACCCACATTAAAACTTTAATAATTTAGCAAGTCAGCAACAAGTAAAAGAACAATTTGATATGCTTTTTCAGCTTCATTACTGTCGAGTTACTCTCAATTGCTTAACAAAACGTGGAATAAAAATAAAAGGATGGATGGGAATTTTAATCCAAGTGTAATAAATGGGGGGAGATAAGAAAAGAAGGAGATAATGCAGTCTTAACAAATAGGTTAGTGGTAACTTACTTAGTGGTTTCTTACTTCCTATAAGTAATAAATAATAATAATAAATAAATAAGTAAGTTTATATTTCTAATTTTTAAGACCTAAATGGATCTCAAAAATTAGAAAATAATAACTGAAATTTTTTTTTTCAGATTTAAGATACAGTTTTTTTGTTCATAACAAGTAAAGTTTAACAAACAAGGGTAGGGGTCTTAATAAGCTCAGGTTGGGTGGAAATTTTTTTTTGAAAAGTATTAAACATTAACTGCTGTGTATTAAGCACTTATGAGTACCACCTTTTTTTTCTTTCATTTTTCATAATTTTTAATAAGTTTTTTAAGTAACGAATTTAAGTAAATTTGACCATTGTTTTTTTCTCTGTTTAAGAAAAGACCACTCTTCAAAACTTAATAAAAACTCAACTAAACCATTCAGAAAAGTATTTAAACAAATAAAATTAAAAAAAAATTGAGCTATATTGACATTTTTGTAATTAAACTCGCCCCAGTAAAATTGCGATAATGGTCAAAATTACAGGTGTTATGGTTATTCTTAAATATTTTAAGTTGTTTTATAGTATTCCTTGCCTCAAAATATGTAAGTATACATATTTTTGGCTTTCTATTGCTCACAGAACAGAAACAATGACCAAAACCATTTTTAAAAATAATGGATTTTTGTTGTTTCAAGGGAAAGTTTGAAGAGTCATATCTTTGAAACCATTTGGAATTAGATTATAAAATTTTGGAAATGTTCATAACTTATTAAAATCTTTAAGTGGTGTAAAATCAGCAAAATCTGAGTCTTAAGGTTGCATGCCCTGGATGTTTTCACCCAGCTTCATTAATAAAATAGGTCAATAATTTTTTTGAACTAGTTTATTTTTTAAAAGGGGCCTAAGCATTAATTATTTTTTTGAATGAAGCAGCACAGTTTTTATTATTTATATTAAAACGTTGCAATTAATAACTATTTTAAATATATTTCAGTATTTGTTTTATTTTTTGTCCAATAGTTTTTATAAATTTTAAACAAATGTTTTAGCTTTTAAAACCCTGTTTAAATTTATTTATAAAAGTTTTAACAGTTTTTTTAATAAAACCAGTACTTTTTATTACACTACAAAATTTGAGTTATACTATTTAATGTTTGTTTGTTCGCTAAAAATTTGAGTTATGCTATTTAACGTTTGTTTGCTCGCTAAAAATTTTTGCTATTAAAAGTGTTTATAAAAATATTCAAAGAAAAAGTTTGAAAAGATTTATCAAAAAATACATATTTATATTAGTGTAATTACGTATAATATTTTTTAATAGTTTAAATAAAATAGGTTTATTGTAAACAACCACCAGAATTAATTTGTTATTTTATTTAATGAAGAAATAAGTAAAAATAATAATTTATGTAGTTAATATATTTATAATAACTTACAAAGCATTGGAATAGTATAGTAATTTTTAAAAAACATAATATAATATATACAGTATCGGACAAAACATGTGCAACCAAATATTGCTAATTTAGTTTCTTTATATAGAAGTGCTGCATTTTTTCAATTTAGAGAAATAACTATGTAACTGTTTAGAGACAACGTTCTTTAAGTTTTATTCATCACAAAGTTCATTATTTGTACACCAAAATTAATAAATTAATCAAAAGTTATAAAAAAAGTTGATTTCCTACTGGACAAAACAAGTGCAACCCCCTTAAAATGTTGACCAAGCTGTATTTCGCTATCAATATTTGTGGTGAATCGCTATCAATATTTGTGGTGAATCCTTTGTTGTCGATCACAGCCTTGCATCTTCGATACATAGATTACAAACACCTTCATGATCAATTTTGCGGTTGACGATCTCCCACAGGTTCTCGGTAAGGTTGAGATCCAGAGATTGAGGCAGCCAATCCATCACTGATAGGTGGTTGTTTTGAAAACACTGCTTGACTACTTTGGCAGTGTGTTTCCGATCGTTGTCTTGCTGGAAAACCCATTTTATTGGCATATTCCATTCAGCATGAGGTAACATAACATCTTTCAGGATATTTTTATCCATGAAACGGTCCATTATTCCATCGACTGGATGTATTAGACCTAGACCCTTTTTGCAGAAAAACACCCCCAGACCATTACATTGCCACCACCATGCTTCACGGTCTTATGGCAATAACGTAAATCAACGCGTTTTCCGGCCGGTTGGCGTACACGACAAATGCCATTGCTCCCAATGATGTTGAACTTCGATTCATCACTGAACAGGACAGTTCGCCATTTCTGCACATTCCAGTCAATATGAGATGTAGCAAACAGGAGTCTTTTCTTCTGGTTCTTTAGTGAAATCAGTGGTTTCTTTGCAAGGCGTCGAGAAAACAATCCGGCTTCAACAGCACATCGTCTGATTGTTCTGTCCGACACAGGCAGTTCTAATTGCTTTTGTATCTCAACTGATAATATCCAGGGATCTTTTTTGATGGATCTGACGATAATTGAATCCTCTCTAGAAGTGGTAGAACGCGGTCTTTCACCTTTGTTATCTGCTGCCAACTTCCCCGTAGAATGATATTTGGAACATAGTCTTGATACGGTCCATTTTTTCACGCGATATTTATCACAAATACTTTTTTGTGACATTCGACTTACGTAATCGCCAATAATTTTCTTTCTTAGTTCGAATCCAAGACTGTCGGGAGCCATTTTTGCACTTGAAGTCATAAAAATAATTAAAAAAAAAAATCATGCTTCTCAAGGCTTACCGTGTTACATTTACCTTGTGATGATACAATAATGCTCAGTGGAACACAACGTCTGGATACTTCCCTTAATTGTTAAAAAACTTCTGTGACCTTGACACGGACCAGACTTAAGAAAATGAAACAAACCAAAAAAGTTGCACTTGTTTTGTCCGCTGCAAAATGGCACTTGTCAACAAAATTCTGCCTGTGTGCTGTCACCTGTCAGCTGATTGCTCATGTCATGACATGCTATGACTCCAGACTCCTGAACTGTTTGCTGTAGTAGTATAGTTAGTTTCGTTTTTAAGACATGTAAAATTAGGAACACTTTTTAGCATTGTTCGATGTTGGTTGCAAATGTTTTGTCCAATACTGTAATATATAACATAATATTTTCCTTTTCAAATTTTCATTTTTTGAGCTTTGATTTTTTCTTTAAGATTTTCTTTTTTTAGATTTTATGAAGTTTCTTTTTATTTTCAGCGCATTTTTGAAAGGTCTTAAGTTGTCAAAACTAACTGCTGTGGTCAAGTTAAAAAAATAAAATATTTTAAATGTTGTCAGGAACGACATTTGATTGCATTACTTTAGGTTTAATTAGACATGTCAGCCAAACTGGAGTATTTATTGGACAAATTGTCCAGAACAAAAAAGTTCATTATTTCAAGCCTTGGTCATATATAGTACATTCTAGTATAACTTTTTTGTTCTTCAAGAGGGCAATAGAAAATAAAAATATATTGTCTATATATCAGTTATAAAAAAAGATTCGCTCTAAAAATTCATCAATTGTTTTCTCATCAATTCTTCCCATAAATAACAATTTTCTGTAATGTTGACATAAGAGCTTTCACATATTTATTTGTATTCCGACTGTTAAGGTAATTGTTTACACCCCCTTTAGTTTTGTTTAGATTTTGGTCTAATAATTTCATGATATTCCACCGATCATTCTGATCGGTGGAATATCATGATCATTGGAAAATAAAATCTTCACTTTTTATTATGCCAATAAACTGGCTTGAGTATAAATCCTGTATCATTCTAAAATATAATTCATATTCCTGAATAATACATGCAATATTTTGATCTTTAAAATGATGTCATATTGCATACTGTGTAGGTCCACAGTCTATAAGAGTAAGATAGTGTATAAATAATGAGTTATATCCATAAAAAGTCGTTGCCACATTCCTTTTATTTCTATTTTCTCTTTCAACCATTTTATTGAACTTGGATCAATTGATTGACAGGCTTCAATTCACTTCTTCTTTACTTACTGATGGGTTAGTTAGCCTGAATTTAGTCTTCTTATCAAAATTGTGTTTAAAGCTAAAAAAAACTATAAAATGGTTTCATTCATTTTAAGATCTGACCCAGAGCATCTGGCTTTTTGGTACTTAAAACACAATAAGTAGAAAAGGTCAAGTTGAAAAAAGTCAATAATAATGTATTTTATCAAGAAACTGTTTGATATTACGAAAGGAAACATGATGACAGTAACATTTTCTCTTCATCATAAAAAAATACAATATTTTCTGGTTCTCTAAAGTTGTAGACACTTACTCTCCCAGACCATAAAAATGTTTGTTGTTGGAGCTGTTGCACTTAACAATAAAATTATTTTGAAGTTCAATCAGATAATCTAGAATAAAAAAACAACAACAATGGACTGCTGCAATGTGTAAAAAAAATTTTTCTTTGGAATAGTTTTGCAGCATTGGTTTTCAAATAGAGATATTTAGAATTTTATTTTTAACTTTCTGGTTTCACAAGAAAATTTGAGCTCCCAGTCCAACACATGTGAAATTCAAGCTCCTTTTAATGATATTCAGTTTTTATCAAACCTGAAGATCTATCTGAACAAAATTGTTGCTAGCAAGGTGTGTGAAACATTTTCATGCCATCTCTGATTTTTCTCAAAACATCTGATCTGAACAGCTGATTTGGTAACAGTAATAGCCAATAGGTTTTATCGTGCATTAGATAAAGGTTTAGATTATCACTCTTGATATTTCTAAAGCTTTTGATAAAGTTTGGCATGCTGGTCTTTTCCATAAGCTTTCTTTTTACGGCGTGTCTGGTAACATCTTTAAGATTATTGAATCCTTCTTTATAATCATAGTATAAAATTTGTCCTCAACAGACAGCACTCTTCTTCATATTCTGTAACTTTGAGGGTTCCTCGAGGTTCAATCATTGGCCCTATACTCTTATTGATAAGAAGCCGACACTCTCTGGTTGCTTGGAGGGGGCATTTGAGCTTATGGATCTCACTGCTACAGCATGGGGCTCATAGTGGCTGGTGAACTTTAATTCAGATAAAACTCAATTTTTTTTAGGCGATTGTTATCGCAATAATTTAGATCTTCCTATATTTATGAATGGTAATGTATTCGATGAGTTATCTACCCTTCATATTCTAGGATTATCTCTTACTTCCGATCTTTCTTGGAAACCATATATCAAATCTGTTGCAAAATTAGCATCTGCTAAAGATGCATCTCTTTATCAAGCTTGACTCTTTCTTACTCTGGATTCTATTCTCTATAAATCTCAAATCTGTTCTTGTATGAAATACTGTTGCCATAACTGGGGCGGATCTTTTAATGTTGTACTTTCTCTTTTAGACAAGGTACAAAAACACATTGTAAACCTAGCTGGACCTGCTCTTGCAGTTAACCTCCAACCATTATTACATCGTTGTAATGTTGCTTCTCTTTCTCTTTTCTACAAATACTATAATGGGCAATGCTCTAAAGAGCTAGTGTCTCTTGTGCCACCTACTAAAATTCATTCTCGTGTTACTCATCATTTAATTAATTCTCATACTTTTTCTGTGACTGTTCCTAAATGCTCCAAAAACTTCCTCAGTTTTTTTCTCAAACATCAGTTCTTTGGATTGTGCTTTCTTCATCTTACTTTCCTGATTCATATAATTTGCAATCTTTTAGTCGTCTGTCCATCGTTATCCTGCTTTACAATCTTCATCTTTTCTCTTCCAGTAACTTCCAACTCTAATAGTGGTTGCTTGCAGTCTTGTTGCAAGGATAGATGTTAAAAAAAAAAAAATCATCTGGTTGGCCCCCACCCCCTTTTCCCTATGTAACACCTACTCCTGTCAGCTAGGGTGGTGTTAAAAACAACTATTTTTGAAAATGTCTGCTGACACACCTTAAATATGTATATATAATAAAATAATACTGGGTTTGAAAAATTTTGTGTACCACATGACTCTTAAACATCAAACAGGTCCCTAATATTATCAAAAAAAAAGGTGTTTCTAAAGTATGTCATGTTAAGTCTCAAAAGAAGCGAAATTATATAAAAATTTTGAAAATAAGTATTATTTTATAATACTTATTTTCAATAAGACATACTTTAAAAACACTTTTTTTTTGACAATATTAGGACCCTGTTTGATGTTTAAGGGTATTGTGGCACCCCTTAAAATATTTTTTAATTCAAAAATTTTTCAAATACATGATTATTTTATTAGATAGAACACATTTAGGAGGTGTCAGCAGGCATTTTCAGAAAAAATTGTTTCAAGAGCCACCCTAGTGCCAGTCCTTTTCAATAACAAAGTGTCAGTATCAATCAAAGAAAATTACAAAATCTACATATACCAGCATTGACAAACACTGCCAAGCGTGTAAAGTTAACAAAAAAATTTGAACAGTTGAAATGTGAGGCTCTGGTAACAGAAAATATGACATCATTTTTGGATGCTCTCATGGAAAAATGCAAATAAAAGTTTTATACATTCTTTAGTATAACAACGAGACACCGGACATAGTAGCTGTACATAGCTGCACCGGACAAGGTTTCCAAGGTGTTTTATAAAGTAGCTGTGCACATGAGTTGTGAAAAAATAAAAAATGCAAATTTATTGAACAGTTTTTTATATTTTGTACTTCAACTGCTCTTTGATGAACATTTTTTCAGATAATCCTTTGTACAAGCTTTGGAATAGCATTAAAAAAAAGCATTAAAAATGCTTTTTTAAAAACTTAAGTAATGTGGACTAAATAAAATATTTAAATCTAAATAATCAAATAGTTCTAAAAGTTATTTTTGTATAATATTATACTTTATGAAATCACAATAATTTTATTATTAGTTATTATTATTGTTAAGTTATATTAATTTTTAATCATATACTTGTATTTATTTTAGTATTTATTATTTTGAATCAGTAAATGTTAAAAGGGCAATGGTCCAACAATGTAAACTTTTGGGAAACTAAAGAAAACTGCATTTCCCCCATGTAATAAATTTTTGTTAATGGTTTAATAATTTTTTTTTTTGAAGGTGAAAAACATTATTTTCTTTCAGAAAAAAAAAAATTAAACCTTTAACTAAAATTTACTATGGAAGAAAATGCAGCTTTTCTTTTATTTCCAAAAGTTTACATTTTTTGACTTCCGCCTTTTTACCATTAATCGATTTATATTATAATATGGTATTATTTTAGTATTTTTTATATTATAATATGGTATTATTTTAGTTATTTTTTATATTATATTATTGTGTTATTTTAGTATTTTACAAATATTGACACTAACTTATCTATATTATAAGTTTTAGTAAGCTGGTATCTAGATAAAGTTGTTGTTTTATTGATCAATTTAAGAATTGTCCCTTCTATTACAATTGTGCACAAGTTAGTTTTAAAATAAGTTAATGATAAACTTTAATTTATTAAAAGTTGTTTTGTTACTTATTAATTATTTAACATAACTAAGAGAGTTAGTTATTAATTACTTAACATAATTAAAATTAGTTTTTACGTTATTTTTTACTGTTACATTTCTTTTCTGTTTATATACTTTTTCATTTAAAGTTATGTTTATATTTTATTCACATGTTAAATGTTATTTTTATTTGAATTCATGTTTAGTATAACATTACTTTATGTTAACTTTAAATAAACCTTTTTAGGTATTGTATTGCATGAAATGCTTCATGCTATGGGTTTTACACATGAACAAAGTCGATGTGACCGTAATACAGCAGTTACAATTGTATATGAAAACATACAACCAGGTATCAAAAAAATTTTTATTTAAAAAAAAAATCATGAGTTTTAAATAAAATGAAAAATAAACAAGAATATTCTAGGGAAATATTTTTTTTTTTGTGATGCAATTATTGCATAAAGCTGGCCAATGATACCATCTAGTAAAATAGATATAGAATATATAAATAAAGGTGATTCAAAAAATAGATTGTAAATTGCAGACTTGTTCAGTGAAATATTAAAAGAAAGATATGGATAATTGTATTGAAATAAATTAGTATAATATAATATTGATGTTTCAATGCAGAAACTTTTGGAAATTGCGTACGCTTTTTTATGACGAATTTTATAATTAAATTTAAAAAAAAAAAAGGAAAGGTAAAGAAAAAAGAATAAAATAAGAAAAATAAAAATATAGAGAATGAAGAAAAGAAAAAAATAAAAAAAAATAAAAAAACAATTCAAACAAATTAACAAAAGAAAAAGAAAACAAGAAAAGAAAAAGGAATGACTGAAAGTTGAAAGCCAAAGTTAAAAGAAAAAAAACGTTCAAAAATGGAAAGTGATTAAAAAGGAATTAAATAAAATAAAAAATTTGCTCCGTTTTTGAAGAAAGAAAAAATAATATTTTTTAAATTTTATTATTTTCGAGTGACGATATTTGTTTGCTTACTTTTTTATTTAAATATTGTCATTTATTATGAAAACTTTTCGTGATGTGTGTGTGTGATGTTTTTATTTGTGAGTGCTATTGAATAATTTTTGTTTTGTTTATGTATTGTCATTTTTTAATGAAGTATTTATTTTACTTTTATTGTTTTTATTTTGATTATTGATATTAGGATTATTATTTTTATTAAATCATTGTTACTTTTTTTTTTGCAAAAATTGTTTTAGTTACATGGTAGTTTGTTACGTTTTGTTAGTGCATAACTGTTTGTAACTTTCCTGTCTCTGCATTATATTCAATTGTTGTTTTAAAATTGATATTGGTATATTATCATATAATTTTCTTATTATTCTTACAACTTTTAAATTATCATCATTATTATTTGTTTTATCAATCCTATTTCATGGTATTTACTTAAGATTAGTTTTTTACTATTTGTAAATGACCTCGATTGTAAGATCTTTTATTGAAAATATATTGATTGATTGAAGAAATAAGATAATACAAATTATTTAAAAGCAAAGCTAGCATAACCAAAAGCATATTTGATATTTATATTTTGATTTATAGATGCTCTCAACTATTTTTCTAGTCCCATTTGAAAAAATTGGGAAATTTGGATTCAATCTGTTGATGTTTAGGAGTTGCTCAGCCCAAATTTTTAATTTTGCAAAGTTGCTCGAATCCAATAAAAAATTTTTTTTTTCTTTCTTTTATTTCACTAATTAAGTTAGAAATGTTTTCTTATTTGTTACAAATGTCCTTTTTATTTGTAATTTTGTTATTTGTTATCCTTATGAGTCATTTTGCATAATACACATTGTTACTTTTTTGAAGTTGACAGGCATTCACGACACCCATTGTAATAATTCATCATCCAGTTAAGTTATTGCATCAGTACTGCACTACTGCTAAAATTATTGCATCATCAATTTACAAATGAAATCATTTTTTTGAATAAGATGTACATTATTAGACAAATATTTTCAAAGTTGATTTAAAATAAATAGAGACTAGAAGTCAAAATTGTAAAAGAAAGTATGGTGTATTGGTCAAGCTACAGCTGTAATCATAGGGCACAAGTTGTTATCTAAAAGGCAAGTCTTATCAATTTATTTCAGAAATCAATCTACAGGTTATATTGCAGATTAATCAACTGATGCCATTGGCCAGTTAATCGGCCCTTGGTTAAGCCAATTAACTGGTTGCTGGTAACAAATGGCTTAGGCTAATAGGCTGAGTGACTGCAGATGTATAGGTACATGTTATACATGTATTTTAAATCCTTGATGTTATTATAATACCTTTATATAAATACATTAAAACCTATTATTAGCCACAATCAGCCTTTGCCATCAGTACACCACTAATGATTTCATGATCAGTGGAGTAAATTTAATTCTGAATCATGGCTCTTAACTATTACAGATCTCGAAGTATATTGTGCCATCAGCAAGTATATTGTGCCATCAGCAAGTATATTGTGCCATCAGCAAGTATATACTGCCATCAGCAAGTATATTGTGCCATCAGCAAGTATATTGTGCCATCAGCAAGTATATTGTGCCATCAGCAAGTATATTGTGCCATCAGCAAGTATATACTGCCATCAGCAAGTATATTGTGCCATCAGCAAGTATATACTGCCATCAGCAAGTATATTGTGCCATCAGCAGTAGAATTTGCTTTAAATATGCTGCAAAGAACCAAATAACCTCACGACAATTACTAAGAAGTTTTTAACTTTTCTAGGAAAAACTTAGTCAACTGTTTTTAACTTTTCTAGGAAAAACTCTTCCAGAACAAGGTGGAATAATTTTTTGTACTTTTAATACTATGCATCAAGCACAGTGGATGGCAAAAGCACTGTACTCTGTTAAAATCTGTATGTTTTGACATCAATATCATTTAACAAAAAATGCAGAGAAAAACCGCATTTTCTATGGTTTTCGATTATATATAGGTTATGTTTCATGCAAAATACATATTTTTTTAATTAATTTTATTTTTACCTAAACCTTTTATATTTTTTTTATAATTAGAAAAAAAAAAAATTCAAAAATCACTTCTATTAGACACAAATCTGTTTAAACTTACGTCATCATAAATAAAAAATTTAAAACTTAAATTTGTTATGTATAGTTGTGATGTTACGTAGTATATTACAATATACTGCGTAATATCACAATTTTATATAACAAAAATATAAGAAAAATTTGTAGTTTTTTTTGTCACAGACATACAATATATTGTATTGTACAATTTTTTTTTTTTTGTCACCTTAACATTTATATTGTGCATTTTTTTTTGTCACAGACGTACAAAATATTGTATTGTAGGATTTTTTTTTGTCACAAAATTTTTATTGTGCAGTTTTTTTTTGTCACAGACATGTACAATATATTGTATTGTAGGATTTTTTTTTGTCACAACATTCCTATTGTGCAGTTTTTTTGTCACAGACATGTACAATATATTGTATTGCTTGTGACAAAAATCGACTGTACTACCAGCTGTGCTAACCTTTCTTAGAATTATTGCACAACTTTCTTGGGATTATTACACAACTTTTTTAGGACTATTACCCAACCTTTACAATAACTAAATGTTATTTATTATATTTTTATAGTTTTGTAAAATAATTTTTTATTTTATAGTTATTGTTAATTTTTTATAAGTTGATAAAATTATTTGAAATCAAATTTCTATTAATAATAAATGTTAATAACTTATAATGTTTATATATAATTTAATTATATATTATTTAATAATAATTATGTATAATATAATAATATTATATTACGCATAATTATTTATTATAATTATTAGTTATTAAATTTGTTTTATGTTGATAATTTAATCTGATTTACTTCAGTATCTTTGTAACAACTTTATAACTCAATTATCAAATAGCATAACAAATACCAAGTAGGTTCTGTGTTGTAATTTCTTAATATTGATGTCTGAAACTTTATTGCGATTTTTTTTTTTTTTTTAATTTACAGAGGAACAGATTTAAAGGTTTAATTTACAGAGAAACAGAAATGAAGTTTTGTCCTGCTATCAAAAAACAAATTTGCAATCACTAGTTTCTTTATAAAGTCTTATTAAAAGTTTAATCATGTATTTTTCCTCATATTTTTCTTCTTTTTAGAAAAATAAGTGGAAAAAAAATTTAATTCAACCAATAAAACATTTTTTTTGAAATAAGATAATCTTTTCATTATTGAAAAAGCCTATAAAAATTTGTTTTTAAAGTATTATGATTAATGCAGTAGTTCAGTATGATAGAGTTCTGCCTTAATGATTGTAAAAGTCTGTACAATTATTGTTTATAGGTCTGGCAAATCAGTTTGACATTGATACTAGTAGATCAACATTTACTTCAGTAAGTTTTTCAATTTATAATATTTACTTCATTTTAATTTTTTCTTTAAAGGAAGTAATTACAATAAAAGCTGAAATAATTGCAAAAAAAAAAAAAATTGTGCTTTTTTTTAATAATCTGAACAGTATAAATTATGCGTAAAATTTTAAAATGTTTCAAGACAAAAAGTTGTTAAAATTATAGTGTGAGTATTTAAACATGGTTTAGTGTTTTTTTCAAATTAATGAAACTATTTTTTGAAAATACTCAGTTGACATAATGTATAATATGTCATACAGGTTATAAAGTACAAAATTTTTATATAAAATTTTATAAACAACATTTAATTATAAATAAACTTTATAAATACTAACCAAGAGTCAAAAACTTATTGTAATAACTGTACATTTTTTTTAATAATGTTTAATAATATATTTAAAAAGATGTCTGGCTATGAAAATAGCTGTTTAACAAAAGGTAGCAAAGATATTTTGATGCCTTTTGTTAAACAAGACATATTTTGAAATTATATTTTAATTATAGTTAAATTTTATTTAAAACACAATTTATAAGTATTTATATTAATTTATAATTAATTTATAACAAATTTGTTAAAAACTTGATTACTATCTATAGACGACTATGTGTGAAAAGCTAAATTAAACCATTTAGACTTTATCTACCCCATTTTGCTTTACAACTTCTTCTTAACATTCTCTTATAACCATTTAAGAGTCATGATTACACAATTTATAACATCTAAAGAAAAGTTAGTAGTAGCTTATAATTAAACACTAAATAAAGTTTTTTTTATTTTTATTTTTTTAACTAAATAAACACTTTTAATGTCTATATTGGAATTTTTAATACTAAAAAAAAAAAAATGCGTAGAAAAGATCAGAAAAGTAATTTAAAACTCTTTTATAATTTAAGAAATAAGGCTATTTGAAAACAAAGGGGATAATAGTTCTCATAAAGGATAAACAATATGGTTAAATAATAATTTATACTTAATAAGTTTAAAATCAAGATATATTTTTTGTCACATGCTAAATTATCCAAGAAAACCAAGGAACAAAGACTAGTTTTTATCGATGCAATTATAAACAGCTTTTTCTTGTAATAACTCTCTCTTCCTTTTTTGTATCCATAGGATATAGTGATATCAAAAATTCTATATAATTAATATAATATTTAGTTGTCGATCTATAAAGGAAAAAAAGGTTTTTCTTTTAAACTTTTTTCTCCAACAGACTAACTTTTTCTTTAAAGTGCCATATAAACTTGCGAATTAAGTGACACTTTAAACTAATCAACAACAATTTTTTATGTTTAACAAAATTTAATAAAACACAAATTAGGCAAGGTTTTTGTCACAAGGGGAGTCCGAATTTTATTTTCCGTATTTGAATCTTTTTCTCAAATTATTAAAATGATACACAGTCTAGTGTAATAAAACTGGGAATGTCCATTGATATATTTTGATTTATACTTGTTGTTACTAACTAAATTTGCCTCCTGATGATAGCTTAACAATAAAACTTGAATAAAATTTCACTCAGGGTGTATGTCAAAAAGGGAAGTCCAAGATTTTTTGAAATAACCTTTTTGATTTTTTTTTTTTTAATTTGTCATGTTTTATGTATTTAAATTTTTATTGTATTTAAATCTGCTTTCCTCTACATTTGGCAATAGACGGAATTTTCTCTACATTTGGCAATAGATGAATTCATTGGCAACAGGAATTTGCTGATGATTGTACTTGATATAAGTTTTATTGTCTTTAATAATAAAAAAATTTTTAGAAATAAAATTGTCATACAACTTTCTGCAGCGGGTTTTTGTACTTTTTTGTTGAGTTTCAGATCAGTTGGGCACTTTTTGTGCTTTGAAAGAATGAAAACCATTGTTTATTTCGAACTTTTACAACAAAACTATGAGAAAGTCCATAAATGTTTGCGCACTCCCTTTGTGAAAGTCTTGGGTTAGTCTAGTTTTTTATCTTTAAACCTTTCTTTCACCACCAGATTTACGTTTGATCGATTTTGTTTGAGAAAAATGTTGAATTACACGACTAACGGTGTATGGATGTATTTGCAATGCTTTTGTTATCAAATTGTAGCTATTATTAAGATTTTCCAAATATTTGTGCATAATTTTTTCTCTTACGTCTTCTTCTTTTGTCATTTTTAAAACTAATTTTAAGTTAAATCAAAAAACTAATACATGTTTTTGAAACCAAAACACGTTGTAAATAAAATACAAAACAATTTTAATGTAACCACTAAAAAAAATGGCGTACTTATTCTTTCACAATTATTTCGTGTACATGCTTTATTAAAAAATACTGGTTTTAATTAGTGAATAAATGTAATTTTGAGATAAATTTTTTATTAAGACCACTGTCACTCGCTAAGACACTTGCTGATAGTTAAGTAAAAATTTACAAAAGAAAAGTTAAAAAAAAAAAAAAAAATAGATAAAATAGATAAAACATTTGCAAAATACAATGGTAATGATTGGCTTGAAATTAAAAGTTGGACAAATATAGAATAAATATTGGACAAATATAGAGTAAAGAAATATAGAGTAGGAAAATATAGTTTTAGAAAATATGGTGTAAGAATGTAAAGAAGAAAAGTAGATTGTACTTTTCAAATTTAAATTTTAAAAATGGGCATTGCAACACATTTTTGCTATCGTACAGAGAAAGGGTCACATCAGGCTTTTTGTGATATTTATGAAAACAATAGGCATATAGTTTAACTTGTGCTATTAAACTGTAAAAATAAACAAGGAAATGTAGCAAACACACATTCAAATTGATATTTAAACCATGAATAGTAAAGACCTGGATTTGACTTAAAAATATTAGAGGTTGAAGTTTTTTTTTCATTGAGTGACAAATTATTCTTTTACTTTATAGTAAAAAAATAATTTGTCAACAAAAATATTAGTCACAGAGACATACTTGTACAAGACATTAGGTTATTGATCGCCGTAACGTTTTTATAAACAAGTATAAAAATCAAAATTTTTTCACCATTTTATTTAACAACTATGGTGACATTTCAATTGTGGTAAACAAAGCTTTAGTTGTTTTTGCATTTAAAAGACCTTTGTTTTATTGTTAACTTCAACTAGAAAATTTGAAGTATGCATTGAAAATGTCTTTTCTTTCTCTTGGATATTGAATACAGAACTCTCTCTATAGTGAGTCTTCTTAACAAGTTTTTAACACCATAAGGAAACTATAGAAAAAATATAAGAAAATTTAGAAATTAAAAAATTTAAAATTAAAACATTACATTTATAAAAATCTCCAAAAAAGAAAGGTGAATTATCATTTTAGTAGATAAAAAATTATCATAAATGGTTTTGTTGGAAATGTAAACGATGCTTTGGATTCTTAGCATAGCTTAGTAAACTACTTTGTAAAAAGTATTCAAAATCACTAATTATCAATTATTGCAAGTTATGGAATCAAATATTTTCTAACTCAATTAAAAATATATGGGTCCTAGTTTGTTCAATTTGTTTCCCATGCTAAAGTTTCCATAAATGAACTCTTTTTTCCACTAACAAATAAAGTGAAAACAGAAACACAAAACTCTCTAAAAAAAGATTTTTGCAGGTAAATTCTGCTATTGAATTATGGGGAAGTGATGCAGGATGAAGGCCTGCAGAATTTTTTTTTTTTAAATAAATATAAGTAAAAGTTTTACAGTTAGTGTTTTTATTTGCAACAATGTTAAAATTGTTTACTTGCAACAATGACACGTTAAATTTTTTCATCAATTTTAAAAAATAGCAACTATAATTTTAATTAATAAAGATTTTTGATAAAATCATTTTTGTATTGCTTACAAAAGTTTGTGCAAAAATGAAAAAATTTAAATTTTTTATTTTTTATTTTTTTTAGAAATATGATATAATGTCAATCATGCAGTATCAATTGTGGTCTTTTAGTAAGTATGACAACAATTACACAGAGGCAACAAAAACTATTAGAGTGAATAAGCAGTTCTTAAATTTAACTGCTGCCCAGGATTGGAATATAGGTACTGGAAATGATTTAAGTGATACAGACAAGCTTGAACTTATGATCATGTACGGATGTACAGGTACTTTTCAGCTATTATTGTTTTTATTACTATAGATAACATTTGAATGAAATGATAAAAAAAAGTAAGAAATTTATGAAGGGAGTGTACTCTATAGTAAGGCTGTAAGGGTAAAAGAATACATGGTTGAAAGGTAGGTAAGGAGTAGATGGTATAAGTATGAGAATATGGTTGAGCATATTTACAAATATAAATTATTACATAAAGCAGAAGGTATGTAGTGTAAAGGTGTACATGGCTTTAAGGGTAAAGATGAGTGCACCGAGAACGAGTACATTTATTTGAAACCCATATACTCATATATCTGTGAACTCTATATACTTACATATATTTTCATTTACCCATACTCCTTACATACCTTTATAGGCATTTTTTTGTTTTCCATGTATTTTTACTCGTGTTACTTATTTATTATGGTATTACTCGTAAATAATATTAAATATACTTGACCATATATATTTATTATAGTTAGTATTTAGTAAGTATATAGTATATAGTTATAATATAACTGAAAACATTTGAACTGATAAAAAAGACCTTCAAATTTCAAATAGTTATTTACTTTTCAAAAAAACTTTTTTCTTGTGTCATCCCATGTTATTATTGCTGTATGGCTATATATTTGGACAAAAAATTTATCAGCATTGTTATTACTGTTTACTGCAAGTAAACAGTAATAACAACGTAATATATATATATATATATATTACGTTGTTATTACGTTTAATATCCTTTTCAATAATTAAATTCAAACATTATTCAGGTTTTAGTATAGTTTGCAAATGTATATATTCAAAACAAGAATAGAATTACTCATGTTATGTATGTTTAATACCTTTACTAAACAAAAGAATAAGTTATTTACTTATAACTACAAATTTAATAATTTTATAAGTAGCGATATGGATGCACAAATTAAGATATAATGTGTTGTAAATATCATGTAAAATTAAACTATATAAAATAAAATATAGCATTTATAATATTTATAAATATAAAATTCTCGGTTATTTAGGTTAATAATGATGATAAATACAAAACGAGCGATAAATATGTATAAAAGAAACGAAGAGTACAAGTTTGAAAAGAAATTTAAATTAAGATCTTATAAAAAAAAGAAATTGTTTATTATTAAAGCAGCTAAACCAGAAATTTCAGGTAATTTCTAGTTTGTAAGAAGCTTATGTATATTATATATTTAAGAGAGAGAGAAAGAGAGTAGTCTAAATTATTTTAAAAAAAATAATAAACAAAAAAAAAAACATGCATTTAGAAATTCAACTTCCAACAGGCATGGATATTCTACAACATCTAGCATACCTGCAATCTAAACTGCCTAAAACCACCAAAAAAAATAATTTAATTTTTTGCTCGCTTCATAAAAATTTTGAAAGATTTGAAGAGTTAGGTTGTAACTGTGTTTTAGTTAAGGTTAAGAAACCCTGGGTAAAAGCAGGGTTTGAAGTTGTTAGTGACACTCAATTGTTCAAAAATCTTGTAAGACTAGACAAGCAGTATTCTGATTTGAAAAAAAATGAAAAAAGAGGCTCTCCTAAAGATTTAACAAATCAGAAAAACTTTGAGAACTACTTAAAAAAAGTTTTTTGGATTGGCAAACCAGATTTGAAGAACATTATAAGAAGCGACAAAAAAAGATCTGACAAGGATAAGCTCGAAGATTTGATGTTTTTGGAAGATCAGGAAGGAGAACGAAAGTTTATTCTTGGGACAGAGGATAAGAAATTTAGCAGAAAGGTAAAACTGTACGATTAAAAATATTTGGTGATATTTTTCTTATAAAATATTTTGTTATATTTAATATTATTTTATACTCGTAGACTGCAGAGAGTAACAGAAAAAAAAATAGATGTTTGGTCGACGAATTCTAATTATGAAATTGAATTCAATTCTGATTTGAGTTCTAATTCATCCGATGATTTTGATTTTGAGCCTAGTAACTATTATCAAAAAGAACCATCTCAATCTAACAATACAGTAACGGCAGAAATTCCAATATATGTATATGCCGGGAACGTTGCTCTTATGGCTACGTTAAGTGATGTTTCACCAAATGTTTTGCAGAAAGTGACAAGTGTCATTTTAACTGAAGCTGGTGTTGATCTTACAGATATACATTGCAGTAAATCAACAGCATTTAGAAAGATGAAATTGGCAAATGAAAATATATCAACTTTAGCAAAAGAGGATGTAAAAAAAGCAATAGAAGCTTCTCCTTATCCATGTATTATACATTTTGATGGAAAAACTCTTTATGAAATTAATGCAGGAAAAAAGTTCAAGATTGACAGGCTGGCAGTTCTTGTGAACATTGAGGGTGAGACACACCTACTAGGTGTCCCTCCTCTAACTTCCTCTTCCGGCAAGGATCAATACACAAGTGTCATGAACGTACTAAAAGAATATAAACTTGAATCAAAAGTAGGAGGTCTTTGTTTTGATACAACTGCAAGCAATACCGGGATCAAAAAAGGCTCAGTCATAAAGATATTCAACAATTTAAATAAATATCTTCTAAAACTAGCATGTAGGCATCACATAACAGAATTAAGAATGGTGCATTTTTGGAAACATACAACAAATGAGTTGAGTACAGGACCAGAAAACCCATTGTTTCAAAAATTTAAGAGCCTATTTGAACATCCTAGTTTTATTTATTCAAATAAAATTAGGATGTTCAAATTATTCCAAGTGATCTGTGCAAGTTTGATTGGAGTGAGGTTAATGGTAGTATAAGTGAAAAGGCTGCTGAAGATTCTATGAACTTTTGCAAAGCATATATAGAAAGAAAGGAGATAGTAGGAGAAGATAAACGTGAAGACAGAAGAGAGCTGGCTGAATTAGTTGTGACTTATCTATCACCTTCTGTTTATAAAATCAGGAAAACTGGAGCTATCCATCATGCCCGTTTTCTTGCTTAAGCAATTTACTATCTAAAAATGCAGCTTCTGTATTCTCAACTTGACTTTGTTCGAGAGAACAACGATCTCAAAATGGAAATCAAGCTTATCGCAGAGTTTGTAGCCTGTTTTTATGCCAATTGGTATTTAGAATCGAGCAATGTATCAAAGGCCCCCAACTTAGATATGAAAGCTATCCATCAGATGCATCAATTCAGAAATATTTGTTTGAATCCAAAAGCAGTTGATGCTGTGCTTGATTCGCTTTACAAGCACACTTGTTACTTGGATTCAACTATGATTCCACTAGCTCTATTGGATGAGGATTTGCCTTTGAATGAAAAACAAAAAATTGCAGTTGCAATTCTTTCATTTAAAATGCCTAAGGCTGAACACTTTAAAAATGAAAACAAAGAAAAAAAAGACATCAGAAAAGAGATAGAAAAAAATGCTAGTACTGAGAAAGATCCACCAAGCTTAGCCCCTTTGGTAGATGATTTTTCTTACCTTATGTTTAGTTTTTGCGGTTTAACAGAAGAAAAAATTAAAGACTGGCTTTCACTTCCACCGCAATACTGGCATACACAGTCTTCGTTTAAAATTTTTGAAAATTATGTCAATAGCCTTATTGTTATCAATGACCATTCGGAAAGAGCCGTCGGCATGATGCAGCAATATGTTCATCGTTACAACAACGAAGAGGAGAAACAGAACAGATTGATATCAGTTGACAGAGTTCGCTCTGCTTTCAGGATTTCTGGGAAAAGCTCCACCAGTCTTACCAAAAAAAGGTTATCTGATAGACTTTCCTCCGTAGCGAAGAAACAAAACACAAACATACAAAAGAAGGATTAATTAGATAAATAAAAGAACTTCTACAAAATCTTCTTAAATATTTAAAAATAATTTTTTTTTGATATGGTAAGTAACATTGAATCGTGATATGCAAAAACCACATATGTTACAAAATCAACATTTTTGTAAATTTGAAAAAACCTTTAATTGTTAATGATTTGTTTTTGTTGGCCACTTGAAAACCGCGTATTTACTAATAATGTACTTTGACACATGTTTGATTTTTTCAGAATATCGTTGATAAGGAACATTTTTCGCAATAAAATCTCAAAATTTTGCAAAAAAGTAAAAAAATGCGAAGCATGGTTTTTGCAGATCACGATTAAATTGTTGTAAAACTTAATTTATTTTATTCTGATTAAAATATTATAAATAATAAACATACATAAAATGAGTTGTTCTATTCTTGTTTTGAATATAAACATTCGCAAGCTATACTATAAACCTGAATAACAATGTTTGAATTTAATTATTGAAAAGGTTATTAAATCAACGCCGCACCGCGAAATAAGCGTTTTTTAGCTGATTTAAAATGCAAATTATACTGTATTTTGTGAAGAAAGAAAAAAACCATACTTTTTTAATCAAAAATACTGATATTTTTCTTAACCCTAAAATAAAAATATATTAAAAATATTCATGCTAGCCTTGCCCTCAAGACACTTTAAAGTAAGCAGTTTTCGGTCATTTTTGAGTCCTTTTTTTCCAAACATGTGCTTTGAGGGCAAGGAAAAAGAGGTTCAATGGTGCTGAAATTTTTTGTGAGTAAGTTTAAACATATTTGCTTCAAATCTAGACGGTTTTGTTTTTCAAATTCTAAAATTTTTTTTTTCTGAACACCCCTAATATATATATATATATATATATATATATATATATATATATATATATATATATATATATATATATATATATATATATATATATATATATATGAATAAAAAGTATTCTGAATTATACCTTAAGTGAAATAAATAACATCAAAACTTCTTAACAAACTTTTTTATATAAGCGAAAAACTTTTAACTAAAGTAACATTTTACTGATAATGATTTTTTTTTTGTAGTATAATTGACAGTTATATATAATTTTTTAAATTTGTAGTATATTAATTGTTTAAGTAAGTATTTTTATAATAAACATTATTAAAAAATAAAAAAATTGTTTTGTTTTTATAAATTATGATATTCTACGACAACGACTTTCGTTGTCGTAGAATATCATAATAAACGAATTTTAATATTAAACGAATTTTAATATAAGAATAATTAAAGTTAATACATTAAGAAAGATAAACAAAATTTAGTTAAAAAAAAACAAAAAAAACAAATGTTTTAGAAAGTCGTTACAATTAAATAAGTTTGATCTTAAATGCTTTTATATTAACGCTTTCTAATGAAGTAACAAAACACTTCTAATGAATTTTTATACATTTAAATTTAATTATATTACTAAAGACTTGTTGCTATAGTTACATAAAATAAAAATAAAATGTTACTATGGTTACTGAATGAAGGTTTCTTAAGTTCTATATAAATACTGTTTTTGATTTTATTTTAATATTTAGAGGATGCTCTATTAAGAATGGGGTATAAGTTAGTATTTGTAGAATTTTCACATTTAGGAAATGATGCAAGATGTTTATTAGTGTGTATGATTTTATCAAATTTAAGATGTTTAATTTCCTTGTTGTATAGTGTCTGTTTAAAAACAATATTTATTTATATAGTGTTTTAGATTTGGCATAGAATGGTTAAAACCTGATATGAATAAACATGTTAACCATGTTCATATGACCATGTTCAAATGTTCAAATTTTCTGTTAAACTATTATTACTATTCAATATTGTGCAACTTTTTAACCTATTTCTTGGTTACTTTCTACTTGTTCTTTAATATGACTTGTTAAATTTTTTAATTGATTTTATTGTGTTTTTGTGGTTATATTGTTAATAGTTTGTACACAGATAATTAAATTTTGTAATTTTCAATTATCTTTGTAGGTATTTAAACCATATTTAAATATCTAAATTCAACTGAAGATTTCAGTAGTCAAAACATATTATTACTATAACAACTTGGACTTTAACTCTAAATCTAAGGTATTTTTTCTTGAAGTCAATGTGTTGATTAGATGATTAGAGGTCTAATTGATGAAGAAAAAAAAATTTTTGAATCAACTGAATGAACTTGAGGTTTCTTTCCTATTTAATTAGAACAAGCATAATTATCATTACTATTTAATTATTTAATTTAATTACATAATTAGAACATAAATATCAGTTTGTGCTGTATTGTAACTTAAAAATCTTTTTTAAGTATCGTAAGTGTCTTTGAGTCATCCTAAATGGCTAAGAAAGATTAATTTCAAAGAAAAAAAAAAGAAACTGAAAATGAAGATTGTGGTCCATCTAAATATATAGATATGATAGTTGTTCAAGAAGACAAAATATTTCTGATTGCCCAACATAAGAAAAGACCATACAGTTTAATAGGAAATGTGTGAGTTGCTTTGGTTGCAAATTAGGAAACAGGTATGCAAAAAATTAAAGCTAAAGAAACTCAGAACTTTTTGTTTATGAGGTGTTTGTCCAATTCTCTTATCAGGCCTAGATATTAGTTTGCTTCTTAAGGTTCTCATGTTATTTGCTGGAACTGGAAAGGCTTATTCTCAAGCTGTGAACCCTGATACCTTGAACTTTTTATCAAATATGTTCAAGCCTTAGGAAGATGGGAAATTTATGAGGCATTAGCTGCAATTAACTTTGACACAACAGCAGCTAAAAAAGGATGCTGCAGTGAGATATATATATTTTTTGAATGTTAATTCACTCCATAACTCTGAAACACTAATCTTAACAATCTAGGCCGCTGCGCTGAGAAACTAGTTGATTGTGGTGCTACCAGGGGTGTGGTGGGGATCGAACTTGGAACTTTTTGAGGCGAATGCTCTATTACTACACCACTACCACATATTATTTTACCACATATTGTTGTCCTTAAATAAAATTTATTTAAGGACAATAATATGTGATTTATTGTTTTCTTGCATTTTTTCATCTTATTATGAAGCTTCTTTTATTAGCAGCTTTCAAAGTCAATATGGGTCTTAGTTTTAGCCCAAAGTTTTACTTTTCAATTTCAAGTTCAATGAGAACTTATTGAACTCATATTTTATGAGTTAGGGAATGCAGAAGTGAATGTTGTTGCAATGGTTATATATGACATTCAATATCATACGCTCATTTTTTCAACGAACAAGTTAGAGACCAAAAAGATCAATCTTATGACAATTATGGTGAGCTTACTAATTTCTTAGAAATATTCTGCCTCATTGTATTTTTAAAAAAATACAATGAAGGATTTATACATCACACAAGTTAAATTGCCTGAATTTTATTTGTGGCATGGTTTACTGCCTCAAATCCTTTAGAAGCTCCTGGATTTGATTTAGCTTTAATAAATTTCTTCCTTGAGTATCACAAACAAAGCAGTTTCCAAGGTTACATTGAACAAATTCTTAAATTATTTATAGTATCTGTTTCAAAAGCTAGTGAGACTTCTTTTCTTCAATATTGCAGATTCCACTAAAACAAAGTAAAACATGATTGCTAAACTTTGATGCAAAAAAAAAAGATGACCTGTGAGTATCAGGTCATCTTTTTTACAAAAGCGAAGAAGTTAGAATATTTTTTTTAGTTCTAAACACAATACCAATTTTTAACAATCTTTAATTAAATACTAATTTTCTTAACAATGAACCAAATTGCTTGCTAAAAAGAATGAAAAACAAGTGCAGTTTCTTCTGTAAGTAATTTTTGAACATTGACAATTATACCCAGATTTTTGCAAAGAAAATCTTATTAATTAATTAATTATATAGATAAATTTGATAAATTTAAATTTGGTTTAAGAAAAGTTTAATTTTCTCAAACCAAATGTAAAGCCTCCATAAATTTTGCATCTAGTTTAATTTAGAAAAAAACTTTTCTCGTATCTTCTAATTACAGGAGACTTGAACGTTTGCAGAACTCCATGATCTAGCTACACTGCCACCATTAAAAACATGCTAGCTGAAGACTTTATTGAGAGGTTTGGTTCCAACCATTTAAAGCAGCGTGTGTACTCTGTACAACGGTTCAACTAGATTAGTTTAGAGCTAGTTAGCACATTTAATTTTAATTTAGCATATCATTTTAGTTTTCAAACACCATCGGTTGTTGCATTATTCTGTTTTACACAAACCACAAAGAAATGGTTTTTAGCTTTATTTTAAAAAGTTTTAAGTCTTAATTGACCTTAAAAGTCCTAAATGTTAGGACTGATCAAAACCATTATATTCTTCTATATTCTTTACAATTTTCTTTTTAAGTTGAATTCTGTTGCCACCTTTTAAAAAATCCCCATTTTTCTAGATCAAAAAGATATTGGTCCTATTCGATTGAATTTAACATGTAAAATTGTTGATTAGATCTTTCAGATTACCATTAAATATAAACTTAATGGCAAACAATTTTAGCATAATTTATATAGATCAAATAACCTCAAGCTTAATTTAAGAAATTAATCTTGAGGTTATTTGATCTTCAACTTCAATAATCATTATTGTTATTATTAATTGTTTGCTTTAACTCCAATCAATTTGGTTTTAATTAACAATAATCCTATATAAGTTATGTCTATTTGGATACATAAAAGCCATAAATAATGTAAAATAAATGTCTTTCTAAAGGAAACTCTGAAAGTTAGTTTCCAGTATTCTCTAAGAGTTACTAAAAATTTTTGTATTTACTAAAATGTGTTTAAAAAAGTACAAAATATGATTTTATAAGTTGTTTTTTTAATTATACTTTTTTAATTATACATAATCTATTTTAATTATTATGTATTAAGTACTTTTTATATATTTTGATTATGTGTTCTGTATTTTATATGTTTTGTATAATATTTTAAATTTGTTTCTTGTTGTTTTTTTAGTATCAAAATGCACAGCATCTTGTGATGGCATTTTAAAATGTTCAGGTAAAAAAAAATAAAGATTGAAAAATTGATTATTTTATAAATGGAAAATAAAATTAAACATAAGTAAAATATGAACAACTTTTTCATACAAAGCTATTTAAATTAATTCCAAATAAATTTATATAAAAAATTTAATTCTTTTCAAATATATTTAGTTATATATAATAATTGATGCATAATATATATAAAAATGATAACAAATCAACAGTTTAAAAAAAGTTACATTGACACACTTTTCATCAGTTACCAAGCAGATATTTGTAAACATAATTTATGTTCATAATTAAAATCAAAATTTCAAAAGAACTTTTTGTGATATTGAGTTACAAAAATTAATCAGAAAGAAAAATTTCAAATTGGAAAATTCAAAGGTTTTTCTTACACAAAAACTTCTCTTATTTCTTATTATAAAAAATGTTTTGATTGCTTTCACGCATTGTTATCTATGACTTAATTTTCACACATTGTTATCTATGATAGAGACTTTAACTTTTTTACATAATAAATTATTAGTTTGCAAATACGAAAAAAAATTTTTTCTTAAGTAAAAAAAAAGCTTAGATAATTTACATTCATTCAAAATTAAATTCATTCATTCGAATTCTTTAAAAAAATCTTTGAATCATATTTAATTTAAAGTTTTTTGACTAAAAAAATTTTAATTTAAAATGATGAAAAGGTTTTAACTTAAAATTTAAGCTTTAAATTAAATATCTTGAAAAGTTTAATCTTAAATTTAAAGTTTAATCTTCATATTTTTATTAGCTCAGATTTCAAGTATACAAAAATTTATTTAACTGATTTAGGAAATTTTTAAGTATACAAAAATTTATTTAAAAGTATGTTTTTATCAAAAAAAAATTAATTATTACACTATTGTGGTGAAAATATTTTTTGCAATAATTAATTACGACTTTATGTTTTTTATTCAAATGCTGCTTGAGGTATTTATATAGAAAACTCTGTGTTTAACAGTAGGTAAATGATATTTTGGATTGAGTCTCCTATTGGACGTCTGTCATACCTATTTATTTATTAAGTTTTACAAATATTTCTTTAATATTTCTTTTTGTTTGTAATTATGTGTATACACATGATTATATACACACATATATATATATATATATATATATATATATATATATATATATATATATATATATATATCTGTGTGTGTGTGTGGACATTTCCATTCCAGTGAGTTAAAAAAAATGAAATTTAAAAACGAATATTTTTTCAATTTGGAAGATGGAATTCTAAATAAGATGATATTTTGATGATCCAAAAGAATAATGATAGAAGACAAGTTTTTCTTCATGATTTAATTATCCAAACTTTGCAATAAATAAAAATTGGGTGTTCGTTGTCGCCACTCCTTCCTTTTTAACATTGATAGTGTTTTTTTGGCAATTTGTAACCAATCAGAAATGGTAAAAATTGGTAAGAAACCATCATCCTCATTATTGGTAAATGTGGTATCATCTCCATCTGAAATGTACAAATTTAATACTATTTCCCCAGGTATATTTTCTTTGTAGAATTGCGTTCTGCTGGTAGAGCAAAGACATACCTTGCTGAAGTATTAGAAATTGTAGATAATATGGCACATTAAATTTCTAAAAGAACAAAACAAACTCATTTTTATGTACCCATCTTTAGATGACTTCTCCAGGCATGGCTTGGTTGAGTTAAAACTGTTAGTACCGCAACCACTCTTTGATTACCGTGGATACATTATTATCAAACTGAAGTGTTACAACTAAAAATATTGTTAAAAATTTGATATTCTTACCTTTTATCTAATATATTAACTAAATAATGCATTATTTATCTCTAATATAGTACATTAAAATATTGTTTTTTGATTTTTTTTTAATTTTCAAACATGTATTTAATAAATTTAGTAATGATATATTTGTTATTCAACCCTCAGAATTAGGGTTGGCATTCGGCAATGCCGACCCAACTGCCGATCTGAAAGTGCTTGAGGTCGGCAAAAAATTGCAGACCTCTTATGTTTTATGGTCAGACCTTTGTATCAAATAATTTTTACCGACCTGATGGCGACCTCAAAAAAAATGAGGTCAGTTAATTTTTGACGACCTCATTTTTCCTAATTCCGACAGTTGGTTATTTATAATAGTCATAATGGATTCATTTCCAAAAATGACTAATGTTTGCATGTTCGTTTCTTTTTTTTTGTCTGTTTTTGATTTTGGTTTAAACTACTATTGTGGAGCAAAGATACATCGTAGAATGCTGTAACTTTGTAGTAATCTTTAAGAATGCTTGTATAATTACCTATAAAAAAATAAAACACCAGTCACTGATACATTTTTAGAGAAAATAGGGTTCATTTATTAATATATATATTTTTTTTGTTGTTTTTTTTTTATGCTTTTTTCTGTTCCATGCGTGGCTCTATTAAAAAATTGATTTATTCTATAATGAAGCAACCCATAGCTACCATACTAAGTAGGAAATATATGCATAAAAGTCATTTAAATAAAAATAAGTCAGAGATTACAAATTGCATTATTTTTAAAATAATTAATGCAACAGATGTAATGTTCCGTGCGTGATAGCAACAAACGGTCAACCTGAAATAAACAAAATGGTCAGACCATCTGAAATTATCAAAATTGCTGTTTTTAAAACAACTTCTTACCGGTTAAGGTTAAAAAAATTATTGTTTTAAAAAATAGGCATTTACGAGCCTGGATGTATTTCATAAATAATAAATATTCATAACATATAAAATATTTTAGACTGAAATATTCTGAAAATTTGTTTAAAATATTTTTATTGTTAATGATTAGTTACTTTTTCACTTAAGTTCTTTCGTGTATTTTAGAAAACATAAACTATGTCTTCATTTTTTACACATCTCTAGTTTGATCTTTAGTAGAATCAATGGTTACTTTTAATATATGATTAAAGATTTTATTATATTCTTATTTTATAATTATTTTCTGTTGTTAATTAAAAACATTCTTTTTTGAATTTTTTTTTTTTTTAGCTTCAATTTTTTCATTAAAGTTTTTTTATTAAATCCTTTTAAAAAACCTAATATTTTGCCACCGTTTGTCAAGTCATCTCAATGAATGAACTTTATAAACCTGTTTAACCTGTTTAACCATTAAAAGAATTTGTAATATTTAATGTATTAAAATTTTATGCTTGCACTTACTATTTATTAAATAATGGCATACACTTATATATTTTTAAACTCTAATCTATTACTAACTAGATTGCAAGCAATCGCTATTAAGTTATGAATTACTTTAAAATAGAGAATAAGTTAAAATACTAGGAAACGTATAACTTAAGACTTAAAAAATTGTAAGTTGTATAAAAAAGAAAAACAAGATGGGTAAGAGTTATAAGGTTTTTTTGATGTTCAAGGAAAAAAACTGGATTAATAAAAGTTTTTTTAGCATAAAGAGACAGATATTGTAAAAAGGATGCAACTTGTTGAATAAAAAGCCAAGCAAGAATAAGTTTTGGTTTATCCTAATAGTGATAGCTCGTTTGAGGATTGACCATGATTGTATTTGTAGAAAAAAGAAACAAATGCAACCTTACAACAATGGGAGAGTGGCTCAAGCTTGGCAGGTAAAGCAGGTCTAATTACATTTACAATGTACTTTTAGACTTTGTCTGAGAGTAAGAGGGTTGTTATTCGTCAATATAGGAATGCTAACAATATTGCAAAATTTTTTTGAAGTAAATAACTGAGTTTTGTTATCTAAATAAAATTGTGGATTTTTTTAGTCCAGAATTTAAATCTGAGTATTTTTAATAAATTTATTGTTCCTTAATTTGACCCCCTGAATTTGACCCCCTGAATTTGATCCCCTCTCAAACAATGCCTCAAGGATTTTATGTCTTCCCTCTTAGCCACATCATCCCAATTTTTATCACTTTTTGTTAAATCAAAAATGTTTGTTTTATTAATAAAGAAGAAAAATTGTTCACCTTCTTTTCGTAACTACCCTCTGGTAGTTGTAGTGTTTTTAGCATTTTTAAAGTGTGGTATTCCTTGACTTTCTTGGTGATTATGGTCTTGATAGTTTGCTCCGTCACAATGAAAACATCGTTAAACCCAGCCTGCTTCCATAAATTGACAAGCTCCCTTAGAATACAATCACTGGCAATTATCTGCTTGGTGTTCTCTCTGCACACTCCATCAGTAAACGTGGAGCATCTTAAATACGTCTTCCTGGAAGCAACTGGACAACCAATTATGATGTTGATCTGTGCGGTCTTAAAAAATAAAAATAAAAAAAAACATTTAAAAAACAACATTTAAGCTATAAAGTTAAAATTGAACATGTAGAAAAAGTAATCCTTTTGTTAATTAATGACAGAATTACCTTTTGCTTTTTTCGAGATTAAGTCGTACTCTCGAGTTCTTAATATAAGGGGGAGGGGGATTTTAGTACAGATCTAGGAAAAGGGGGGGGGGGGGTTATGTTACATTATAAGTTGTTTTTTTAAAAAAATTCAATTTATACATCTGAACTATTATTTTTTACAAAACACGCTTAAAGCTATTTATTTCTAGCGTGGCTTGCGGTCAATTTATCTAGCAGCAGTTTTATCATAATTTCATTAGGATTCAATATGCTGATATAAGTCTTATATTTGGGTGAAAAACGACAAATCAAGATATACTAGGTCGGCAATTTTTAAAGCCTGTTTAAACTGAAAGTTTTTGTTTTTATCAGACTAAAAAATTATTTTCTAATTTTTAAGGCCAATTTTCACTGACTTTTACAGCATTTCTCTATTTGTAGGAAGTCTATAAGGGGCAAAACTTTGTAAAGGGAACCCTAGGAAATAAAATTGACTCCTCTTCATTTTAGCTTTTGACGCATCATTTGTTAATTGTAGTTGATTGAATCAGGATTATAGTATACAACTAATAATGAAAAAATAGTGATGGTAAATAAGTTTTATGTTCAAACCTGTGTTTTAGAAGAATTTTTTGGTTGAAAACAACTTTGAAACTTGATAACTACTTGAATTATATATTGACTTTAGTTAAATTTACGACAAAAGATTACTTCATCTGTCCAACAACATCTGTTGAGTAGTTTAAGGTCAGCTGTACTTTTTTGTCCAAGATCATCTACATTTTTCTTTTACTCTTAAAACATCTGTCTAATATTATCTGAAAATTCAACGACCCCTAACAACATCTTTAGAAAGATGTAACTACATCTGGTAATTTTTCTTCAAGTCCAATAACATCTGGAAGTATTTTCTTTAGATGTAATTAAATCTCTAAAAAATCCTATATATAACTACATCTGGTTAAAATAATGTATAATTAGTTAATATGTTTTCCAGTTGTAATTACATCTGAAAAAAATCTTATATGTAACTACATCTGGTTAAATAATGCATTATTTGTTAATTCATCTTAAAAATAACTTTATCTTAAAATCTACAGATGTAGTTGTACAAATGTTATTTTGAAACAAACGTTACTTTGATAATTTAAAAGATGTAACTACATCTGTAATATTTATTTAATTTTTGCACAGATGTTATTAGACACTAATGAAATTTCAGATTTGGACAGATGTTATAAGACATCAATCAAATTTCAGATGTTGTTGGACAGAAGTTATTATACCTCATTATATTTACAGATGTTGTTGGACATGGCATAAACTGATGTTGTGACCCTGACGCGTCATTAATTTTTATTGTTTATCAACACGCATCATTAATTTTTATTGTTAGCCATTCTTTTGTCAAAACATTAATTAAAGTTGACTAGGATAAATTTCATTTTTAAATCAAAATTTATTTATTGAAATAAAAGTAAATTCACCTAAATATCCTACCCCTTAAGCTAAAAACTTGACTTTTTCTTTATGGATAAAATTATGCAAAATTTAGTATTGTACACATAAAATTCAGTTTATGATTAAACTCTGCTTTTACATTTTTAGACACACCAACTACTACTCAACCTTCAACGACAACTTCAAAACCAACTACCAAACCTACAATGACAACTTCGAAACCAACTACTACTCAACCTTCAACGACAACTTCAAAGCCAACTACCAAACCTACAACGACAACTTCGAAACCAACTACTACTCAACCTTCAACGACAACTTCAAAACCAACTACCAAACCTACAACGACAACTTCAAAACCAACAAGTACTCAACCTTCAACGACAACTTCAAAACCAACTACCAAACCTGCAACGACAACTTCGAAACCAGCTACTACCAAACCTGTAACGACAACTTCGAAACCAGCTACTACCAAACCTGCAACGACAACTTCAAAACCAACTACTCAACCAGCAACAACATCAAAGCTAACTACTACTCAACGTACAACAACAACATCGAAGCCAACAACAACTACAAAATCGTTGCAAGGCGACAATGTTCTACGTAAGCATCAACAAAATTCAAAATTCAAATTAAAAAATAAGCACAATTTTCCACGTTTTCGTAATATAGTATTTTGATCAAATTGTTAGAAGAATGAAATGAATCATAGTTTACTTTCACAACATTTATGACGTTTCATTTGACATGTCTGTAAGCCTGACCATGTTTGTAAACTAAAGGATTTTTAGTGTATTTAGTTAAACTTGTTTAAATATCGTTTTTACTTTTTAATTTAATGTTGATTATGAGTATTGAGACTAAGGCTTGGTGCTCCGCCTCTTAAACGAAGCACAGTTAAATATACTAAATAATTCAAAATGTTGTTCTTAAAATGTTTTTGAATTTTTACATATAGTGTAAAAACTAAAAAACATTTCCCTACACATATCGTTTATTGTAACTCTGTATTGCTGGTCTAAATTGTAAACCTTATTTAAATATATTATCCTTACAGGAGAAGGTATAGAATAATTATATTTTGATATCTCTATCTCTATAAATTATCTATTCTCTATCTCTATAAATCTCAAATCTGTCCTTGTATGGAATACTGATGCCATATCTGGGGCGGATATTCTAATGATGCCCTTTCTCTTTTAGGCAAGGTGCAAAAACGCATTGTAAACATAGTTGGACTTGCTCTTGCAGCCAACCTTTAACCATTATCACGTCGTAATGTTGCTTCTCTTTCTCTTTTCTACAAATACTATAATAGGCACTGTTCTAAAGAGCTAGCATCTTTTGTACCATCTACTAAAATTCATTTTCGTGTTACTCGTCATTCAATTAAGTCTCATCCTTTTTCTGTGACTGTTTTTAAGTCCTTCAGAAACTCTTATTCGTCTAGTTTTTTTCCTCGAACATCTGTTCTTTGGAATTCGCTTCCTTCATCTTTCAGCTTTCCTGATTCATATAATTTGCAATCTTTTATGTTGTCTGTCAATTGTTATCTTGCTCTACAATTTTTATCTTTTCTCTTCCAGTAATTTCCAACTCTATTTAGTGGTTGCTTGCAGCCTAGTAAACAAAGATGTTTAAAAAAAATCTCGCATTTTGATATACGGATTCGATTTTTTTGATTGAAAATTGCCGCATATCGGATAACCAATCCATAAAATTTTTAATATGATAAAAAAAGCAAATAATATTTTAATTTCATTTTTATAAATCTTTACTCAATTTTAAATAAAACAATTTTGAATAAGACAAATAAATCTTTATTCAATTTTAAATAAAACGAATTGTGGAATGCGCTTGTATTAATAAAATACAAGCGCATTCAACAATTTATCAAATTTTGAGTTAATTGAACAAAAAGCATCAAAATTTTCGGTTCGTTTTCCAGTTTTGCGAAATAATGAAAATTCTTGTTTTATATTCCTAATATGGAATTCTTTTACCCCTGATTTGCGATTCTCTTTGATTCTGTATAACTTTTTTCAGTTCTTCCATAGTCATTTCATTTTCTTCAACAGGAACAAATTCACTGTTATTTTCTGTTTATTTGAAAAAATCCTTTGCATTATTTCATTTGTCTCATGTAAATCGTGTTTTGATGGAATATTCGATGAATCATTTAGTAATTTCTGAATTCATATTTGTGCGTTCAGCGATTTTTCTTTTCAGGTTTTCCATTAATGTTTTACTTATTTCACTTTCAACATTACAAAGTTGATTCATCATAAACTTAATTACTCATCATAAACTCAATTATTGTATCTGCTGATGACAAAAAAGAATCTTGTCTACTAAGAGATTCTACATTTGATTTACATGCTTATTTTGAGAACATTAACCAAATCACATAAAAGATTGAAATTTACTTTTGTCAGCATATTTAAATCAAAAAGAGATTCGGTAATATATTCTCAAACATATATAAAACGACCATATCAATTAATGAGTTCATCTAGTTTTACGGATAGTTTTGTCTTTTGTTTTGCAAAATTTGATTTCTATTTGTTGATTTTTTAAAATTTAAACAATTTTACGTAAGGGGTTATCTATAAAGGAAGTCACGCTAAGTTTAACTAATAGCGAAAAATAGGAAAATGTTTGCTCTCTTGCGCAGAGATTTTTAAAGTAATATACCACCTTTTGTTCAATGAAAATCTCCGCGGAAGAGAGCGATAAATTTCTACTTTTTGGTTAGTATTTAAATTCTGAATGACGTCCTTCCCAGTAAGCAGACACTATTTGGCCCAATAGCGAACCAGGCTCGGCTGCCAAGCTGTGCCAGGCCTGGCACGCCAGCGCCGGGTTGCTCATTGGTTTTTTAAAGTGCCAGTATACGCAAGCCAGTGCTGGCGCAGCAACGTTTTGCTAGCGGCAAGCTAGCATTGATTCAATTTAGGGCCAACGCTGGCAATCAGCGAACGTTGCACTAAACGCCCACTATACAAAATTGTCCAATTAAACTACTTTTTTCATCAATTTTTACTAATTTTACTTATTACATATATATATATATATATATATATATATATATATATATATATATATATATATATATATATATATATATATATATATATATATATAAATCTATAAATTTTATATAATTATATAAAAATAATTATTTTATTTATTATGTTTGTCAGTTATGTTGTTTTTTTTACTTTTTGTTAAAATAGACATAAGTTAAAAACAAAAAAAAATTATTGAATTCATATAATATATTTTTTGTTAATAATTTACAAGTTGATAAATTTACATTAAAAATATATAAAAAATAAATAAATTTATTATTAATAACATAAATACTTGTAAACCTTATAATAATGTCAAATATACAATTAAAATAAAACATAACATATAAAACAGATCAAGCAAGACTTTGATATAAAAATAAAGCGTTCAAATCGTGGTAATGATAATCCAGATAAAGGTTTCAATGTCAATGATTGGGCAGTATAGCTACGATTTTTTGATGAACTGTTTTTTTTGGATGGACTTTTTTTCTGCTCTTTCTTTTCTGCCTCTATTTCTGTCTAGAGCTCCAGAAAAAAAAAATGCCTTTTAAATTTCGCTGTATGTGGTATCTTTTGTCAGCAAATTTCTTCGTATTGCTTCTATAAACATAAACGCAGCCATATATCAAGTGTTTTTATGAACAAAATTATAAGAGAATAGCTAAATATAGCTGTTGTATATATCTGTATGTCTCTATATATCTGTATATATCTGTATCTCTTTCTCTCTTTGTGTTTATATGTGTATATATACATATACATATGGGCAGGATTAAAAAGTCTTTTTTTTTTAAAGGAATGACCTTTATAAACTAAATTGGAAATTCAAAAAAAAATAAAAACGTTTAGAAGGGGGCAATAATACCTAACATGCTACCTATAAAGACTTATTTAATTTCAGGTTTCATATTTAAAAGGCGAGTTTCCACTCATCCGTTTTTCAATGGGAACGGGATAGGAAAGGAAAAAATAATCACGTGAGCATGCGTATTAAGAGTTTTTATTTGTCCGAAAGAAAACTGCGCATGCTCACGTGATTATTTTTCCGTTCCTTTCCCTTTCCCGTAGGAAAAGGGATGAGTGGGGAAACTCACCTTAATATTCATGTGGAATAAAAACTTTTGTTATAGCCATCAAAACTTGTGTCACGGAAGGAATCTATCATTCCTTCACTGACACAAGTTTTTATGTCTATAACTAAAAATTTAGAATTCTACTAAAAATGTCTTTTCTCAAAATTAAATAGATATTTATAGTTATTTTGTTAGGTAAAAGGTTTTACCCCCTTCTAAACCTTTTTAATTTTTTTTAAATTTCAAATTTAGTTTATAAAGACAATTCCTTTTGAAAAACACGACTTTTTTTTGTATCTCAAATCGAGCAGATTTTGATTCGAAAATCTAATCAAGAATCAAATCAGCAATTTAAAGTATATGAGTTAAAATATTTCTTAATATTATATATTTCAAAAGAAAAAAAATAATAGTAAAAACTCTTTTTTGGTGCTTCATGTAGTAGTTAACCTTTTAAACAATTGGTAACAATTTTTAACAATTGGTAACAGTTTTTAACAATTTTTAACAATTGGTAACAGTTTTTAACAATTGGTAACAATTGGTAAGAATAAAGAAAGTATTTTTTGAAAGTGCAAAAGTCCCCAATGTGGGTATGTATGTATGTGTATATATATATATATATATATATATATATATATATATATATATATATATATATATATATATATATATATATATATATATATATATATATATATATATATATATAACACGCACACACATAGAAACACACATATATAAATTTAATAAATGACAATAAAGTGAAGAAAACAATGAAAGACAATTTTAAATATTTATATTTATTTATTATTATATTTATTAACTTACTTTCAATAACTTGGCGAAATTTAAGAATTCGAAAAGACTTTTGTGAAGATCACCTTGCCCTGTCCCATTCAATTTTTTTGCTACTTCCCTTTTTGCTGCTACTCCCTTCACCTTAAAAAAAAAAAAATGCTACCACTAGTAAAACAATTTAGTTCATTTTTTTTTATTAACATTAGTTATAATTCATAAAATGTTTTGTAATAGGCTGCAAATTAGTAGTCAAAATACCTTAATCACAGAGGTAATTATGATCACTTTTTCCAATCTCGTTTTACTTTTGTTTAATACAGAGACAGGCGTCTACAGACAAGACTTTTTTAATTCTTGATGTTCATTAAAATCTTGTGAGTCAATATCATAATTATTATCAGATTACTTCTGTACTCTAAACACATAAGTCTAATGTTAAAATTTAGTTTATAGAAATTTTTATGGTATATTATAAACACCTTAAAGTATACATTAAAAAGTATACATAAAATACAAAAAAATACCTTAAGATATTATGATGTTCAGTGAAAATAATTTTAAGGCTAAACATTAACGGAGTTAATAAGTGTATACTTTAGCCAACAAATAATAATCAAAATTTAGTGAAGTACTTGTTTTACTCAACGCCAAATTAAAAATAAAGAAATTATAAAGAAATATAATTAAGTTTGAATAAATATATAAAATAAAGGAAAATAAAAGGTGGGGGATGATGACAATGATGATGAGATCATATAAAATATAGCATAAAAAAATACATAAAATGAATTTTATTTAAATACATAAAAAACACTAATTTAAATAAAATTTTAGGATGCATTAACATTTAAGCAGCTCTGGTCATAGATCAGCAAATTAAATCAGTGAATTCTTGTGTGATATTATGCTGAGAAGATCAAAATGCTAAATCACCCTCTAGTTCATCTATTACAATATTCTTATCACTTTTATCTGAATCGTTATCAGATAGAAGTGATAAAAATATTGTAATAGATGAACAAAGATTAATGTAAAATTTGCATCTACATTAAAAACATTTTGCGCTGGTTGTGTTTAGATCATATCCCATTCGGAACGATTATTTTTATTTGCGTATTTTTGCCGAACAATATTTAAAAAAATTTACGGAGCAATATTAATAACAACACAACACGCGTGCCTTGTTTGATAGATATATTATTATTTGTTACTAAAATTACTTGTTAGTTAACGAAAGTTAACGAAAGTTAACAAAAGTTAACAAAAGTTAACGAAAGTTAACGAAATTTAACGTAAGTTAACGAAATAAAGACCACTACGTGGTCTTTATTTCGTTAACTTCATTGCTTTTACAGTGGGTTACTCTATTTATTCATGGATGTAATAGTTCTTTAAGGTTAGTGTTTCTTTCATATACATAATTCTTAATAATATAATAACAATAGTTATATATATATTGTATATATAAAACTATTGTTATTATATTATTAAGAATTATGTATATTTAATTTTTTAAATATATATATATATATATATATATATATATATATATATATATATATATATATATATATATATATATATATATATATATATATATATATTTAAAAAGTTAATGCTCTTGTTCAAGTATTCGAAGAAAGAAGAAATAGTGGTGGCCCCTATTACAAATTTGCTTTAGTTTCATCACTAAAGTGATGAAACTAAAGCAAATTTGAATATCCGTTTTTATGGAGTTTCCGTTCACAATAAAAATTTCAAAAATGATTCAGCTATTGATCCAAACGCCTTTTTACATGAAACTAAAAGAGTCAATTGAGAAAATGTTGCTTGCTGATAAAGATGTTAATTTAGCCCAATGGGCTCGCATCTTAGTCCAAAATCATTGGCCTGAAAACATAAACACTCAGGTGACATTTGGAGAAACTGAAATCAGAAACCTGTCATTAAGACTACAGTTAAATAAAAGAGAAATGATTCGTAGATTTTGTGAATACCTTGCAGAACAAATATATCCTGAAAATTTAGTTTATTTAGCACACGCTCTACGTACTATCCCCATTTCCTCAAGTGAATGCGAACGAGGGTTTTCACAGATGAGTCTGACCATCACACAAACAAGGGCTTCATTAATGACAAAAACAGTTTCAATGTTGTTATTCATAAAATTAGTGGGACCACCGCTAACAAGCTTCGATCCTTCAAAGTACGTTGATTCGTGGTTACTTAGCGGAAGGCATTCAGCATTAGACACTAAGAGCAAGGAAAGGAGATGAGAGGATATGTACAACAAAAATTTGAAAAAACTATGGGATTTGTTATAGAAGTTTATAGTTTTGTAAATTTCAAATGAATAACTATTTTAAAAAATTTAATAACATCTTTCATCAATATCAATTGATATCATCAGGTAAAAAAAGGTAAAAAAAATTACAATTTCTATATACAAACAATTTATTTGGCTGCATTAAAAATTTAATAGTTTTACAATAATTACCATAATTACATTTTATAAGATAAATAATTACTGTCTGGTAGTTTCACTAATGTATTCAGCATTACAGCTGGAACAAACAAATTTATAGACAACAAAGGATTTTAAATTTAGGGGTAAGGGGTCTTTTGATGAAAGCATACTACTTATTTTAAAAGTTGTAAAAACCTAGTCTTGCTTTTATATTATCTTTACAATATTTTAAATGTATTTAATTAATTGGTGATGAAATGTATTTGAAAATTTTCCAATATAAGGGAGTTTAAAGTAATGTATATCAGATGGTTTTTCAGATGACATGTTTTCTTTAGGAGAGATAAGACTGTTTAGTAAACTTTTGAAGGTTTTGTCAATTAAGTTGAAGAGAGAAGAGTTTTATTGGAGAGTTTGTTTAATTTTTACAATATCTAGATGAAAAATTTCTGTTTTTTGAAGGCCCTTTTGATCAGAATTTTAATGAGTCCTAGTTCATAATCAATATTAGTGAAACTTTTAAAATTTGTTTGTAAAACTGTGTATTTTATTTTTGTAAAATGTTGAAGTATTAAATTTATAATTTACAGAGTTATTAATTATATCAATAAAGTTCAATTTGCAATCAACCTCTTCCTCTTTAGTAAATTTAGGGTAACTTAGTAAACTTAGTAAACTTAAGAACAGTCACAGTAAAGGAACAAGACTTCATTGAATGATGCATAGCATGAGAATAAATTTTAGTATATGGGACAAGAGACACTAGCGCCTATCATAGTATTTGTAGAAAAGAGAAAGAGAAGCAAAATTAAGAGGATGTGGCAATGATTGAAGTTTGGCTGCAAGAACAGGTCCAACTACGTTTACGCTTTTGCACATTGTCTAAAAGAGAAAGGGTATCATTGGAAGATCCATCTTAGATATGGCAACTATTCCATAAAAGTACGGACAAATTCAGAAGTAAGAAGGTGGCAAGGACGATAAGAAGATGCATGCTAATTTATTTTGAAATGGATTTGATATATGGTTTTTGAGAATGATCAGAAGTAAGAGTTAATTCTAGAAGCAAAAGTGTAGATGATTCATCAAATATATTACTGTTCATAAATATAGGAAGATCTCGATTATTGTGATAACGACTAGCTAAAAACTATTGAGTCTTATCTGAGTTAAAGTTCACCAGCCATTGAGAGTCTCATGCTGTAGCAGAAGTAAGATCCTAGCACTGACTAAAATCTAAAACCCATGCATTGAGTCATGAGGTTCCAGCATTCAATGTCCTAAATTGGAAACAATGTATTGCAAATTCATCTACGCCAGCCTAATAGATGAAGACGGGTGCGAAGCTGGTCAACATAGAATATGTTACCTCTTTGTCTTTGCCTAGGAGGCTTTCTACTAGACAGTAGCTGGATGCATTAAATGTCTGCCCAAGGTGAGTTTTTATCGAGACACTTTTATCTCTAATTTTTACTCAACCAAGAGCCCCACAAGAGTTTTTTTATGTCAGAGTTGGCTTCTCCTAGCCTTTGCCTGAAAAAACTAGGAGATATTTGTATCCTATATAGGGTAGGATACAAATATTTTGCATGGTAGGAACATGTTACCATGTTGGCTTCATTGAGCTAGACAAGATGCGATAGTTGTTATGCTATGTGTAACATGCGTTAGGAGGACCTGAGGCATAGTCAATAGGGTATACCATAAACTAGTACAGTTCTCCTTTGCTAAACTGTTTGCCAGCTTTTCTTCATTTTTAATATCTTCTTGTTTTTTTAAAGTGACAAATGGCATATTTATATGAAGCTCTTTTTAAAGCATTAAATAAAAGCATTTTCAAAGAGATTAAAGATTTTTGTAAAGCTTGTCATAGACAGAATGCGTATTTAGAAGTCTTATGAGCTTACATAATCCGGCCAGTTTTGTATATGTTGATTTTTATTACTTCGTTTAAAATTATTAAGACACTAACATTAAAATTGAGTAGGACAGACATTGCTTATATTGTACAGCCAATTAATCTGCTTAATATACTCATGTAAATTACAATGGAGATTTCTACAGTTAACTACCTCAATCTTATTTGTGTTATTTCAATATATTGAATTGGGTGAGCAATAGAGCTGGATGAGATATCAATTTTAAATAAGTCAGATAAACTGGTTGACTAAATTATAATGAAGTTAAAAACAAAACATTAAGAACTTTAAAGAACAAGGCAGCAATCAATTCAACAAGTTTACTGATTTCTGTCTCACTACCAAAAGTAAAGAAATATTTAGAAAAAAAGCTATTAGCTATGACAAGATGTTTATCATTAAAAAAATAATCATACAATGGTAATCAAGGATCACATTTTAATTTTTATAAACTGTTATTTCATTTATATAGTTTTATGTAGTTTTTATAAGCATAGTGTCAATCTGTGCAGGGAATCTAGTTAAGTCTCAATTTATTAGAATACTTCATTCTGTTTAGTTTAAGGGTTAAGAAACGAGATAGTGTATCCTATATAGTAGTAGAACATATAATTTCAATTTTTAGTTATCTGGCAGGATTTAAGTTCAACGGATTTAACTAGGATCTATTTTTTAGTAGATTTAATTAGGATGTATCTTTAGGTCGACTAGGCCATTTTGTAATAATCAACTTATCGGGTGCCCTTACCACTTTAACGTTACCTAAAAAAGTCTAGGTTGATCCCTTTTGTTTGTAAACCAGGTAATGTGGGTTCTTGTACTTTTAATATACTGTTTTATAATTAGTTGCTGTTAAGTTCAATTGAAGCACAGAAGTTGCACAAAAAACAAAATAGAAATAGATTGTGGGAATAACAGCCGAATATATTCTCCAAAATTCGCTACCAACGATAATCCACCTGAGT